CCAGGAGCGAAGTCGCTTCTGTAAGTTATTTTCATGGAATTTCAGCAAATGTATGCACAAAAGATCAAGCGAAACACTGGAAAATAGTTTTCGAGAATTGTGTTTTGAAGAAAGTAACGGAAATGTTGAGGTGTTTCGATGAATTCATTACATTTTAAAAATTCAAATTTGTTTCAACAGACAGACGGTTCATGACAGAGAGAGTGAAGCGATTGCGAAACAGTTAACTAAATACATCGAATGCACTCACAATGGATCCAGCGCATTACAAAGCGGTTTACAAATGCCCGGTTTTCCGTCACTTCCTCCCATTGGAATCAATGACTGAACTTTTCGTTGCCATCCAATTAATCCACCAATACATCTGTATTCATCTTCACCTAATGCACGCCATGGTGCAAAATCGAATGCAAATCCTAAAAAATCATCATTTTGTTGGATGGAATTGAAGAGAACGGGTTGAACTGACTGATCAAAACAATTTTTTTGACTTGATCGAAAGCAGTGCTGGGAGCGGATTATATTTGTTTACAATCATTCAACTTAAATNCGGGTTTGCATTTTGTCCGTATTATAGTACCTGACCTCCAGTAAACGTGATTTTGATACGTGTACTGCAACAATAGAAGTTTATTTTGAAATTAAGCTCATGTTTCTGAGATGTTAGAATAGCCGAACCGAAAAACTAAGGAAATCCGAGAGTGGTGGTTCTCTGGAAGAGGTTTAACAGTGTTTGGAAATTTTCAGATAAGGCTGCAATGAGAACAGATGCATTGAGCGAATTTTCGAGAGAGCATAAGAAGATATTCTTCGAAAAATTGATGGAAATTTTGAAGGATGTTTGAAAAACAGCAAATAGCGAAACATTCGAAAACGCAACAGTCACTCGCGGAGGTGAAACCAAGTAGGTGGCGTTTCTCATATCAAAATCGGTCAGCGCTAAACATCCTGGCAAGCAATTGGACGGTGCTTCTACCATTTGTTGTTGATTCACCCACTGACCTCGGTAGCACGTCAACGTTTGTGCAGACGCATATTGGATATTTTCAAAGTAATAAACTGAAACTTTTCATGTGTTGTGGTTTTTAAACAAGTTTTCGTGAATAAGCGCTCATATTCACAAGACAGTGGNCAGTTCGGAGAGCACGATTATTGCTGAATGCAACAAGTGAACAACACAATTACTAACAGTCTTTGCATGTTATTGTTATTTTAGTGCCAGCTCGACAACCGCCGAGACAAAATGCTACCGACTTTTTGACGACAGCGTAGGTTAATTCTTTTTCGAGGATTTCGCGGCATCTTCCTCGTTTTAGTGCGGCTGTTGAATCGATCAGCAATACTGAAAGCCAATTCCGATACGGCCAATAATACTAACTTCAGATTTGTGTCAATAAAGGCAATCTTTGAAATTGCATTCGGGGGAAGGAGATCAGAAATAGGAAAGTCTGTGGAATCTATTAAGCTCTCTCCCATCAAACCATTGAAGTAATGGTCGATCCGAAGTCAGCGATAAATCAGTTTGATTAATTCCGCACGCTGCTGAGAGCCAACATTTTCGGAATTTTTTCATAGCAACAAATTTGGAAAATGATTGAAATTGTAATGGGAATTGTCAAATGCTTGAAACTTAAGATGGTTCAGTTTTGTA